AAGATTTATTTAGCATACTCTATACATTTTTAAGTACTAAGATGTGCGAGTTCGAGTCACACCCTCCAAAAGAATTTGTTTTTAAAAAAAAAAACCATTTAAAATCATACGATTTTATTTATTAAAGCAATTTTAATATATGTACAATCGGTTAACTTTAAATTTTGCTTATGGCCAACTAAAAAAAACATATTTGTTGTTAAATTTTTAATATTTATAAAAAAAAAATTTATTACTGTTTGTAGTATATTTTTGGTCCTCATAAAGAAAGCTTCTGTACAGTTAATAAATTAAATTTTCCACTTTTTTCTTTCTATGGCTCCACTGTGCGACAGTGGGCAATGCCAATGCCAGGCATTTGCATTTTGGTCGCCGGCCGTCGCAGCTTTGTGCACATGTCATTCATTCACGAGGCGGCCTTAAATGGGTCAAACAAATCTCCATCTCCAACTGACGCTTCGCTACTTTGCTGCTTCGCTACTTCTTTATGTTGTTGGTGGTCAGGGCAGTGCTAGAAAAATCACACGGCTTAATTTCTGTTTTATTTTAACGGATTGGAATGGAACGGGGCGAGAAGAGACTCGACTCACAACATGAAAACCATTTGCATTTTATGTTTGTTTTATTGTTCAAGTCTTCCGTTTTAGCACATTTCATTTTCTTTTGCGTTGGTTTATTGTTTTATTTTTCTGTGCCTTTTTTGTTGTTGCTGTATTTTTTGCTCTTTACTTCTTCTTGGAGCTCCCAGCTCCAGTGCGATTGCAAATTTATGCGCGCACCCATCACAGGTTGATTTGTTTGGTTTAGAAACACTTCTGGGTCAGAGCGTGGAGGAAAAGTGAAATAAAAACCGCGTCTTTTGTCTGCGAACGCCGCCAATGATGGCGACCCACTTTCTGGCGTAGAATCTCTAGAATGTGGCCCACAGTGCCGAAGTACCGTTAGCAAGGGAGAACCCAGGGCTATCGTTATCGATCCTGAGGACTCGATTGTTAACCCAGAGGTGCTCATCTTTCGATTTAAGATAGATATCGAGAACACAAAATCCAGGCGATTATTTCGACTGTCCGATATCACAGTTGATATGCAACAGGTTATCGGTTCCGTGAAGGAAACCTTTTCATCAGCAATTTGCAGATACATTTGCCTCCGTACAATCTTTCTGCACGTGAACTCTTTTGAACTTCCGCAACAATTTGCTTTTTCTCGTTATTGTCTTAAGTTTCGCATTCACATCCACCCGCACATGGGGAAACACGTGCTTGGGCGTGTAAATTGAAACTAAGCTAATCAACGTGACCAGGAAGGGGACTGCTTCTTTTTCTATACCCTCTCTGGAGATAAAATATAATTTTTAATCGTTGGATTGGCTGAATTAAAATCTAAAATTCGAGCTAGAACCAGTTGGGAATTATAGGGATCATTTCCGAAAAACTTGAAATCTGTGGACTTTCTTAGAATATTTTTACTTGATCCCAAGTTTCCCAAACAAATGCAAGGGTATACGAATTTCGTTGTTGCTCAAGTAGCCCTGCTTCCTCGCTTTTGTTTCAGTTACCACCAACAATGGCGAGATGTAAATCGCAGCAGCGTCTTGTAATTCCATACATCTGTTTCCAGCGATCGCACATGCATCATATACCATATACCATACAGCATTTGCACTATATATGCACTATGCAAGCGACTCTTGTGCTGTTGTCATTGAACTTGGCCACATGACGTCGGCTTTGCCACCTTTTCTCGGTTTTCTGGGCGCTACGAGTGCTACATTACTTTATACGTAACGGAAATGACCGAAATGCCGGCGTGTGAAGACTCCAGTGTGTTTTGTCAACCCGAATTATTGTATAACCGGCGATAAAAGAAGACCATGAAGAGCACACAACTGGTTGGGGGTTCAGATTCGAGTTCAGGTTCAGGGACAGTGACCAAAACGGGAGACAGGTTCATATTCCCAGTTTGTCACATACAAATGTGACATAAGGTATAAATGAAGTGGTTCTTAAATTTTTAATATTCCCAGAGTTCTTATAGCTAGTTCTTAAAAAATCCTGAGAAAGTTTGATTTGATTATATTTAATTTTAAAATCATAACTTCATACTTTATAGTTTTATAGAAAAGGGAAATCCCCTCGTAGAGCCTACTACTCAAAAACAACCTTGTTTACCATTAATCGCCATGCATATACTAATTTCCCCCGTTTCCATGGCCAGGTAATGCCCGCTCTGCACACCCAGCACCGACCGGCGGAGGAGGGATGGTCCAAGCAGCACGAGGAAGACCTGGTCGAGCGGACGTTCGCGGCCACGTTTCCCGCCTTCAAGTTCCCGGACCGCGAACGCCTCCACGTCAGCTGTGGCGTGCAGCTCTGCAAGGGGAAGTGTCCGACTGTGAGTACCACATACTTGCACTACACACCACACTGTAGATGCACTGGAAAAAATTCAAAGTAACAACATTTTCTAGAATTCTTTAAAAGGACCCGAGTTCAATTCCTAGTCAAAGCATTTATTTTCTATTTAAATATTTGTTAAAATGTTCATTCCATTTATCTATATACTTATTTATGAAGTCATTGCTTGGAGAACACAAGTTCAATTCCTCATCTAGATTTTTTTTTTCTTAATAATAATATTAATATTATTTTTTTCTCCGTGTACCGACAAAAAACACCGCTCGTATGCATCTCAATTAATTGCAACGAAAACGAAAGTGTTGCCACCGCCGCTTCTGCTGTTTTCTGCTGCCCATCGTAGCGTGTTGTTGCGTCTGCTAATTAATGTGGTTATTGCACCGAAATGCAGCCAAGTGGAGCCACATACCCACTTAGCCACCAGTGCACCATCCGATGCACTGTCTCCACTGCACTGAAGCAGTGTCTCCACTGCGCAGAAAACAAAATATAGATTATAAAGGAGATATCAAGAGATTTTATATACAATTTATAAATAGCCATTAAAAATATATAAAATTCTTTTAAACGATTATTAAATTTCTTTTTTCCTGTGTTACATTTCGTTGGTTAATAATATCGACATAAAAATCTTTATGATTTGATGATATTAAATTCTATAAAAATAATTTTCCAATTTTTAAAAAATCATTTCACCTTAACACATTTTTGTACGGTGTAGTTACTACATTTCTCTGGTTCCCTTTCGATTCCAGCTAAACTGTCGCCAAAAGACTCCCCCGCCGGCGTTGAGTGCCGAGCAGCACCTGGCCCGCATCGAGGTGTTCAATTCGCTGGCCGTGACAGCTCCCCAAATCGAGGTGGACCGCCTGCGATACGACAGGCGCCACAATATGAGCGGTAAGTGGGCGGGATTGGGGAAGGATGGAGATGAGGGTGTGGATGAGGAGTAGGAATGCGTGCCAGTCACGGATGCCTTACCATCCAAGAGGGGGGCTGATTATAACTCAAAACATCTTTCAATTTCGTTCTCTAATTATAATTACTTTCCTAACATATCAAAAATCATAATCGTGTTTTTTCAGTATTTTTGGCGTAACATGAGAAAAAATGGTCAGAATAGGAAATGTCATACCTTTTTGTGCTCGTAATTAAATTCTCTATCGATTGGGATTTAAATATAAAAATTTTAAATTTTTGAAATTTTTTGTAAAAAATTGTGACCTAACCCCTTATAAAAAACGCAAAAATTAGTCAAACAATTTATTTTTGAAAATCAGCCAGAAAATGATGAGGAAAGTTAGCTAAGAACCTCAGTTGTTCAAATCAGTTATTCTTTCTGCTTTGGGACCTTTTTTGGCCAAGTTACAGCAAAAACCCTATTTAAAAAAAATAAAATTTTTGTCAAAAAATCAAGAGCTTGATTTTTCAACCAAAAACAAACAGTATTTTGGCTAGAAAATGGAAATAATGGTCCAAATATGGAATGTCATACCTCTTTGTGCTCGTAATTAAATTCCCCATCGATTGGCATTTTAATATAAAAATTTTAATTTGTTTAAATTTTTTGTAAAAAATTGTGACCTAACCCCTTGTAAAAAACGCAAAAATTAGCCAAACAATTTTTCTTTGAAAATCAGCCAGAAAGTAATGAGGAAAGTTAGCCAAGGACCTCAGTTGTTCAAATCAGTTATTCTTTCTGATTTGGGACGTTTTTTGACCAAACTACGAAGAAAACCACGCAGATATAATCTATATTTTTAATAAAAAATCATAATCGAAATGTTTGCCAAAAATTGGCTTACCTTCTATGGGCAATACTAATCAGAGATCTAATTTCAGGAGAGGACTATGCGCCCCATGTGAGGGGTCAGCCGGGGCCCGGCGAGGGAACCCTCTGCCTGTCCATCTCCAAGCTGGCCATCTCGTTCTGCGTGCTGGGCCTGATCTTCCTGGTGGCCGTGGTGGTGGCCATCTTCTCGCTGATCCGATCGCGCCGTCGCGAGCGTCGCCATGGAGCCGGACTGAGTTTGGGCTTGGGCCTGGGACTGGGCATCGCCGGGACGAGCACCTCGAACAGCAGCAGCCGGCTGCACCGGGATCGGGCCGAGATCTGCACCTCGATGTTCTCGTCCAGCAGCGAGTCGGCGCAGTCGCAGCCGCGCTTCGGGGCCAAGTTCCTGATGCCCTACTATCCCAATACCCTGCCCTACGGCCGTGTCTACTAACTGATTAACGGGCTGGAAGAGGGCCTCCCAGAGACTGACGGATTCGTCTAACGAGTGGTACCAAAATAAGGTCTAACTTTAGCAATATTATCGTTCGGTTGGCCGAAAGGATCTTGAAAGCGTTTTGCAAGCGGTTCGGGGGCCAAAATGTGTTTTGATGTCCTTTCGCTGTAGTAGTATTTAATAACCTACATATCTTAAAATAAATAAAAAGTTTTACAAAATGAAGAGGTGACCCCAAAACGTATTTCAAATTACGCGGGCATTATACTTGGTATTTCAGTATTTAGTATTTTAAATGGTATTTAATCGAAAGGGGCTAACGCCAGCTGGCCCACAGCTGATGCGACGAAGAAGAAGAAGCAGCACGTGCTCGTTGTTGTCGCCTTCAAATTACTTTTGTTTTTAGCCAGTTTTTAAGTTATTACCGCCTTGCCGCCGCCACCAGGATGACCAAAACAGCGCCCAAGGGGCGCCCGAAGGCCAAGACGCCCTACAAGCGCTACTTCGAGGCGGAGAAGGACACAAAGGCGGCGAAGGACGACGGCCGCCTGGAATATGTGAAGCTGAAGAGCAAAAACCAACAGAATTTCACCGGGGATTTCATTAAAATGCAGGACAGGACCAAGAAGCCGCGTCCCCCGAAGGCTCCGATCGTCGAGGAGCCGAAGAACCAGAAGAAGCACCCCATTCCCGAGGAGATCCTGCAGAAGTACTCACGTGGCGAGCAAGTGCAGCCAAAAGGCGTGAAGACGCGCCACTTCAAGGAGCAGCAGACGCGGCGGGAGATCTACCTGGAGTACGCCACCGAGCAGGCTGCCCGCACGGAGCTCCTCCACCAGGAGACCGCTGGCCAGCTGGAGGCGGACCAGGGTGAAACCACCGCCGAGTACCGGCAATCCCAGATAGCCGACAACGTGGATCTTCAGTCTTCAGCCAAACACTTCAGTTTGAACATGGAATTCGGGCCGTATCAAATGCGATACACCAAGAACGGTCGGCACTTGCTGCTCGGCGGACGACGCGGTCATGTGGCCGCCTTCGATTGGGTGACCAAGCGGCTGCACTGCGAATTCAATGCCATGGAGAGCGTCGAGGATGTCCAGTGGCTGCACGTGCCCACCATGTACGCGGTGGCCCAGAAGAGCTGGGTGTACATGTACGACAAGAAGGGCACCGAGCTGCACTGCATCAAGCGGCTGAACAGGGTGAATCGGTTGGATTTCCTGCCCTATCACTTCCTCTTGGCCGCCGGCAACAGTGCGGGCTACGCCTCCTGGCTGGACGTCTCCATTGGCGAGCTGGTGGGTAATTTCAACACCGGACTCGGTGACATACGCCTGATGCGGCACAATCCTCGAAATGGAGTGCTCTGCATTGGCGGCGGACGTGGCGTCGTGTCCATGTGGTCGCCCAAAGTTCGTGAGCCGCTGGCCAAGCTGCTCTGCCATTCGACGGCCATGACGGCGCTGACGGTGGATCCCAAGGGTCAGCATTTGGTTACCGCCGGTTTGGATCGGGCAGTAAAGGTCTGGGACATCAGGATGCTAGTAAACGACAAGCCGCTGACGCATTTCCAACTCCGGCTGGCCGCCAACGAGCTGGATGTCTCGCAGCGCGGCATGCTGGCGCTCTCGCAGGGCACTTACCTGGAGACCTACGCGGATTTGCTCTCCGGCGGAGGTTCGGGCGACGGGACCCGACTGCCCTACATCCGCCAGCGCTGCGATGCCTTCGTCCACGGGCTGCGCTTCTGTCCGTACGAAGATGTACTGGGTGTGGCCACCGCCAAGGGCTTCCAATCGCTGCTGGTTCCCGGCGCCGGGGAGCCCAACTTTGATGCTTTGGAGGACAACCCGTACGAGACGTCGAAGCAGCGACGCGAACACGAAGTGCACGCTCTGCTCGAGAAGATACCGCCCGAGCTGATCACCCTGGATCCGCACGAGATCACCGGCGTGGATGCGCCGACGCTGCAGGAGAAGATCGACGCGAAGCGGAGGCTGTTCCACGTGAAGGCGCCGCGCATCAACATGAAGTCGCGCCACAAGATGAAGGGACGCGGCGGCACGGCGAAGGCGGCGCGCAACAAGCAGATCGTCAAGGATGGCAAACGTAGGGTGAGTATAAGGTTTAGATTTGCCTTGATATTCATTACTAATATCGCTTACTCCCGCAGGAATTCATTGCCGAGGTGCGGGAGGCCAAGAAGAGCCTGATCAAGCAGCATGCAGTGAAAGAGGAGGGCGCCAAGGGCAAAACCAAGGCTCCGCGCTCCGTGCTCGATCGTTTCAAGCCCAAGCCGCCCAAGAAACAAAAGACCTAATCGCAGTTGTTCGTCTTAAGCCAGAGGAATATAATGTATACATTAAACTATTTGTAGAAGCTATGCAAAGTGTGTTAGTTGTAGCTGATTACTGCCTTTAGGTAGGCAGCAATGTGATCGCTGTCCAGCTGCTTTTCCAGTTGCTCCAGCTTTCCCTCTTCATCCAACTGCCTGGCGTAGTAGAACAAATTGAGCACGCGCTTCTGGTTCTCGAACTTTTCTTCGCCTTCCGAGTCGCCCGTGACCTGCAACTTGGACAAGTGGTTGATCACCTCGGGAGCAGCCTGCAAAAGGGCGGACATAAAGACTCTATTCAGTTGGCGGCACAGCGTGGCCATGGCGCGCAAGGTGGCCTCGCCCACAGTGGGTTTTAAAAGCAACTGCGGCAGGTAGCTCAAAAACGAGGCGAATCTCTGCTCGCCGCCAAAGCGGCCGTACAAATCCGAACGCTCCACCATCTCGCAGAGGAGATTGAGCACCCGCGTGGCCACGCCCTCGCGAGTGGTGAACCGCTGGCCCACATAAGCCTCAATGGTGGCGCTTAGCAGGCTGGTCAACGGCTGAGCCACGATATTCAGCAGCGAAGTGGCATTTTCGAGGAGCAGCGGGCGCAGGGAAGCCACCATGGAAAGCTGCTGCTCCGGCGTCATGGAGTTCAATCGCTCCAAACTCAGCTGCATGTAGCCCACCAAATGGCCAAACAATTGGGCCTGCTTCTCGTTGGCGCTGGGAAAGAACTTGCAGGTCAGCGCAACAATGCTTAGATTCTGGGGCAAACAGAGCTCGCCGCCATCTACAGGATGTCCCTTGTCTTTGGGGGATTTCTTGGCCGTCTGCGGAATCTGTTGATAGGGAAAACGACTGCCGTCCTTGGCCAGAAAGTTCAGCACAAACTTGTGAGCGTAGTGCTTCCGCAGCCAGTCGCTTAGCTCCCTGGTGTTATGCTCCTCTTCGTGCTGGGCAATGAGGTTCCAGAGGAGGCTCATCAGGCTGACGACCACATGCAGACTGGCCGCCGCATCCTGGGTGAGCAGCGGCTGCTGCGGCTGCGGCCGCACCTCCAGCCAGTTGTCCTGCAGCAGGGGAAGCAGCTGCTCCACGTACGTCTGCAGCTGGCTGCCCTCGGCGCTCAGCTTGGGCTCGTTGAGGATGGCGTGCAGATCGCGGTGGTCCCGAAGCACGGGACACAGCACATTGTAGTACTGCGGATGCATCGGATCGAAGTGAACCACCCGGGAAGTGGTTATCCTGCCCTGCTTGGAGCTGACCAGCGTGCCGAGGATCTGCTGCAGGCGGAGGAGCACCTTGGTGCGCCACTTGACCGTGGTTTGCTTGCCCTGGCCCAGATTTAAGGTGAGCGTGCGATTGGAGCGCTCGTTGTCGTGGCGGGCGCGGGAGATCATGTCGATAAAGTTGCCAATAATTACGCTGGCACTGCGCTCCGCTAGGAGGGCGGGGGGAACACGCTGCAGCAGGACGTCGAGCAGGAGGAGGGAGTCCTCCTGGATGGCGGGCAGCACGTGGGTCATCGCACAACGCAAATAGGTGGCGATAACGTGGAAGAAGGGCGCCACCGCCTGCGGCTGCAGGGCCTCCAGCAGGACATCGAGTGTCTTAAACGACTCCTGTCGCGCCGAACGCTCCATGTCCAGGGAACCGGCTGCAATCCCTTGGAACAGCTCGTTCAGATGGCCAATCAAGTGATCCGCATTGCCCGACTTTAAAGAGTCCCGCACACTGCGCAGCGCATCCGTGCGAAACTTGACGCTGTGGTGCTTCAGCCGCGAGAGCGTCTCCTTGAGATTCAGCTGCCGCTGGCCCGTCTCCGTGTAGGAGGACTCCTTCAGCTGCTCCCGGATCTCGATCTTGCGCACCTTGAAGTCCGTCTTGGTCACGTTCAGCCCCTTGGGCAGCTTGGCGCCCTTCAGCTTCACCTTGGCCTTCTCCGCCCGCAGGTTCTTCTTGTGGTGGCCGCCCATGCTCGCGGTTCTGGAGGAGATCGGCAGGGGATATCAGAATTTCAGGAGTTCCGAATTGAAAACAATGCAATCAAAACATGTGCGCGAAAAGAAATCAGCTGGCAGCCAGGGTGACCAGGTGTCGCGACATCTGGTATATACCAAAATATAACATGTATTTTTAAGGGAATTAAAAAAGAAAGCTTGGTTAATTTTTAAATATTTTAAGTTTATTACAGAATTTTTATAAATCATTTTTTTTAATCTTTGCAATTTATTATACATTAAAAATTGCAGTTTGTAAGAATTCTATTCAAAGTCTGAAAATTAAACAAATTCATTTTTTATGATTTAATTTCATTAAATTTAAAAATTGTAACAAATTAGCCACTGCTTTAAAACATAATTTTAAGGAAATAGAAAATCCTTGCCTTAACTTGCCGTCTACTAACAAATATTGTTGTTAATTGAACCTCATCAAAAAGAAAACGCATTTTCAAAAAAATAGTTTAAAAAAGTTGGATACTGATAGAAAAAAACGTATCTTTACAACCAGAAAGCTTTTAGGATATCAAAAAAAACGTTTCAAATGATGATGAAATTACAAGTTCCAGAAAGTTCCAGTATATCAAAAATAAACAAATTAAATAAAACCACCTAAATATTCATAGGGATAACTAAAATAATCTTTAATGTATTTAAATTAAGTTAGTAGAAGCTAATATTTAACCAGATAAAGGACAATTACCTATTAGAGTATTGAATTTTAAAGACAGTAAAGAATTGAAAGCTAACTAAATGTAGGTAGCACGTTGAAAAAACAATAGTTAAATATATAAGAAACAAGTTTAGAAAGTTAAAAAACTAATTAAATAACTAAATTAAGCTACACGTGCTGCCTGGCCTATCGGGCTATCGTTATCGGGTAGCAAAAGGCACTAACGCCTGGCCGGAAGCTTTTGCGGACAAATTTTTGGTATTTTGCAGCTAGTCACGTTCAAAATTTGTATTTAAAGTAGGAGCGTTTTATTGTTTTCGGCATTCGTTTGTGTTAATAACGCTGTTTACGTTGGCGGAACACTTGGCGGCAAAAGGAAACGCAATTGAGTCGCGTTCGAAGCAAACTGCAAATAAAGTAAACACGGTAAAATCGAGTGGAATTGTTGTGAAATACCCACACGCACACCCTCGCAATCGCACCGACCACCGTCGCACACACACTCACACCCGCACATTGGAAGAACCTTTCCGGGCGGGGGAGCACGTTTCGCCCGAATTTCGGCCGTGATTTTAGAGATTTCTCGATCTCGATTCCGGTGGCAGCCGCATTTCTATAATTAAAACTGAATTTGAAACAAAAAACGGCATATTCGAAAAACCTGTCCGCAATATCTGTTTACATCTCAAGAGAGCAGCTGACGCCGCAGCTGTAAATGATTTGGAGGGTGTGAAGTGAGGAAAACACGCGACCTGCTCCGCTAATATAATGATAATCACTTGTTATTTTATTTTTTTGTTCTTGTAATAATAAACTAATCGTGAATTCGATTTCGATAGAAACAACCACACACACACACACACCCACACACGACACGGTGTCAGCAACAAAATAAAGGAAATCGTGAGAGAGCAAAAACAGCGGTAAATTCGGCAAATAACGTTACACAACGTACCAAAACTGCAGCACGAGAGAGCGGTAGAAAGAGCAAGAGAGCGGGAGCGCAAAAGGAGGTCAGTGCACATTTTTAATAATATAATAATAATCGCTAGTTAACCATGTATTTGGTTAAGGAAATAAAGAATGAAACAATTTTATTATTTTTCTGATTTTTTGAAATGTTAGTCGCAAAACAATTCGTAATCTTATTGGAAAAGAGCGACCTGTGGCACATTTTCAGGTAGCTGCAGTGGCGGCTCCAGGATTCCTTTTCGGGGGGTTTCCAAAAGATAATTTTTGTAGCATACTTTTTAAATAGTACATATAGGTCACTATCTCGATTACACTTATTTATATGGTTTTCTTACGTTTTTTTAGTTTCGCTCTATTAAAATTACTATTTAAGCCCCTGTACTCCTCTTCTGATTGGAAAACGCAACAGCTGAGAGGTTGTTTCGAGTACCGTTGCTTTTGCGTTTGTTTGCTTTTGCGTGTGTTTGCGCGTGTGTGCGTTTGCGCCTTCCTTTTTGCCGGTAAATTGTTGTTGCTTTTGTTTTTCCCCCAGTTTTTGGTTTTTGTTGCTATTACTGGTATTTCATTTAACACTAGTGACGCGGCAGGTTTTTTAATGATTTCGCTCGAAGGGGGTCAAAGTGGCAAGGCCTTGGGCTCCGCTCGGCCCACAGCAATTGTCAAGAAATTAGGAGTTTCCAGAAGAATTTATAATCTTGTAATTTTGACTTAAGTATTTGTTCTAAGAACTAGTTCCTTGAAAATATATAAATTTCCAGAATTAGATAATGTGAGCATATTTTCTTCTATATTTATTTTTAATAATATACTATAATTATGATTTTTTTTTGCTTACTATTTTCATGACCCTCGGTGTAAATAATTGTGTCTATAGGTACTTTTTGTAAATGCGTAATTACCAGGGTGGCCAACTATTTTTTTGTTGTATTGATTTTCTATGTTGTTTGCCGTAATTACCGGGCAATTCGATTTTAAGTATCCACCGGACTTTGTTGTATATACTGTGTATTTTATGGTGTTTGTGTGTGGTTGTTGTGGTCGCAGCCTTGACATTCGTTCATTTTAATGGGCATGCGATTTACACCCATTTTTTCTGGCCCTTCGTCCAGTTTTTTTTTTTCTTCATTATATTTTTGGGTGGAAAAAACGACCTTGGGTGGAAACTTCTGGCATTCTCGTATTCTCCCATTTGGCGTGACCAATCAAAAATTGAAAAAAAGAGAGTGGAGCTGCAATGGGTTCCTAGTCATCGATATTAGGCCCCGCTATTCCGGGTTTTGTCGAGTCACTGTTTGCCGGCAAAAGTGACGTCACTAGCACGCGAGCAGATTGCTCATACGCCGCGTTTGACCGAGCGTTTATGGGGTATTCCTCTCCAGCTGCGCCCCCATATCAAGATCCCCCGCAGAAAGAGGAAAAACACGATGGGATATGGAAGTGTTTGCCGCAATTTCACCATAATATGCAAAGCTTCCGGCTGACGTCATATCAGGATAGAGGGGATAAAAGGGAAGTGGTAGAAACAAAACAAAACATCATATCATTTTGCTTTCCTGATCTATCAGCATGAATATGCAGAAATATCTCACGAATTATAACCGTGACTCACAGCGCTACAGTGAAGTTTGAATACAGTGAATCTATAGCTATGAGAATACAACCTTACACTCATAGAAATTTTTACCCTAAATCGCCCTAAAAAACTGACTTTTCGCCCGTGGATTTAGAAAATCGCCCATAAATCGTATCCGCTGGCGATTCGCCCGTGTATTTAGAAAAATTTTCTAAAAAATCCCGATGGAAATTTGGTTTAATTTAGGGTGATTTTTCTTGAAATAAGAAATATTTTCCTGTTTTTAGGGTGATTTGCCCTAATTTTAAGGTGTATTTTTCTAAAATTAAGGGCGAATTTTCTGTTTTTATAGGCGAATGCCCTAAAAAATTAGACAAATTAAAAAAAATCGTGTTTGAGCATGCTTAACTGAATTTGGGAAGCATGTTTTTTTTTTAATCGTCTATATTCTGGGAACTGGGACTGCTTTAATTAAACAGCACCGGCGGAGGACACCGTTTCATATTATTGTATTGGTGTGTAGCTTATATGGGAGCCGCGTTAAGAGGGGGGCCCGATCTATACAGCACAGCCGTTAGAACTGAAAAATCATGTTTGTAAATGAATTAGGGAAATAAATATGAGGAGAAAAAACAACTTACTTTTTTTGGTCATTGCGAGAATCGAACCCACGACCTCTCGGTTTAGAGTCTAACGTCCTACCGCTGCACCACAGACCCCTCGCGCAAGACGACGAACAAACTCTGCACACATCTTATTTTCTTGAGGTCTACGTTATAATATGACTAAAGGCAACTTAACCGTATATTTTTTTTCCTGACGACTGTTCCCGTTTTCTTGCCCGCAAACACAAAGTATGCTTTTAACTCAGAACTCCCATACGTTTTTAATTAGATTTAAAATTCGGACGAAAAAATGTCCTCAGTATTATAATGTTTACAAAAAAAAAAAAAAACATAAAAATCAAGTTGAATCACACAGGGTTCGAACCCACAACCCCACGACCTTAGTCCTCATATAGCAAAGTTGAAAGCGCAAGTCATTAGACCGCTGGGCTACCGAATTTCACACTTTTGGAGTGATTTTTAAGGCAAATCGCCCTTGTATTTAGAAAAATTTTAGAAAAAAAATTAGGGCAATTCGCCGTTGGATTTAGAAAAGGTCAAAACGAAGCAAATCGAAAAAAATCGCCCTAAATATTAGAAAAATAGAAAAATTAACCCTAAAAATATTTTTTTATGGTCACCTGCCTTAAATTTATGGCAAATTTGTCGTAAAAATAGAAAATTTTTCTCAGTTCAAAGGCGAACAATTTTTTAGGGCGATTTTCTAAAATGTAGAAAAATATTTTTATGACTATAGTCATTCTATATTGTAAAACAAGAAAGGAAGCTACCTTCGGCCAGCCGAAGCTTATATACCCTTGTAGAAAGAATACTCACTCGGTGCAGTTCCAGGGATTCCAGATTCAGCGTTTCGATTTATTTCAATTTTGTTTTTAAGTAGTCAAGAATCAAAACGCCTACTTCCTACAAAGTTACGATGAATTTTCTTATATTTGATTGGGAGCCTTAAGATATAGTGGTCCGATCCGGCTGGCTCCGACATATGTACTACCTGCAATAGAAAGAAGACCTTCGGAAAAGTTTCATCGCGATAGCTTTAAAACTGAGAGACTAGTTCGCATAGAAACGGACAGACGGACAGACGGACATGGCTAGATAGACTCGGCTATTGGTGCTGATCAAGAATATATATACTTTATGTGGTCGGAAACGTCTCCTTCACTGCGTTGCAAACATCTGACTGAAATTATAATACCCTCTACAAGGGTATAAAAACCAAAAGAAAACAACCTTAGTCACTTTGTTTTTAATATAAGAATGAATAATATTTTAACTCAGAGCTTAGAATATAGAAATATTTATGCGAATCTGGTTTTCTACAGACCTATGGAAAATTTTATATTTTATTGAGTGCCCACTGTATTCCCCCTCTCTTTCGCACGCATCTCACGATCAATTACGACTGTTTGTTGTTTGATAGGAGCGTGCGAAAAGCAATCAAAGCTTTTCAATGCCTTTTCCAGTTGTTGTGACATTTGCAATTATTATCGCACCATGACTTGCCCCAAAAGCCAACTGTAATAGATATACACATAGGCACATATCATACATATCAGATAGATAAGTACATTACGCATACGACCGGGGTCCGTCCGTTGAGATAGTGCCATTTGGCCTTGCCTTAAGTTAGCCTTTATTGAGCGGCCTAATCCCATCCATTGTCACGCACCGAAAAACCACTCGAAATGCCATAGGCATTTGCTACACAGAGCGAAAAATGTCAAGCCATTGTGATATGATATTAAATGATATGATATAATATGTTATGGATATGATTCATGGTAATTATTACGACTTTCCCATCAATATGTTGCGATTAGGGGCTGTTTAACTAGGCTATATCAGCATGATATTTAAAATATTCCTATTAAACAAATGTTTTTATCATGTTTTTCCCATCAATATGAGGAGTTTGTAGAGGTTCTTATCTAGGCTATATCACCATGATGTTTGGAAAATACTAATATAACAGTTTTAGACTGTTGTCTATGCCATATCAGCATGATATTTGAAAAATGCCTATAATTAACTTTAAAAGTGTGACCCTTTTCTTTTCAGTGTAGCCTTAGGCCCCGCTTTCCACCAGGTGACAATTTGCCGATGCGCATTAGCGGCCAACTTGTTTGAGTAATCGCTTTTATAGCTGTATTATTATTATTACCTGTGATTGCTATCGTTTTTTAGTGCCCCTTGTGTCCTTGCTTTACCTTATTTTTATTACTTCTTCGAGAAACACATAGAATTGCCTAATTAATGTTTATGTAAATCAAAGTATTGAAGCAGTATAATTTTTAAATATTTGTAAGGTTTCTAGAAGAAGTTTCTATTAGAATTCATGACTTTAGGCTTTTTTAGTAGCTATAAAAATTTCAAACAAACATCAATTTAATGCCCTTAAATGGAATAATTTTAAGTGTTAACCTTAGTAAAAACCACAAGCAATAAAGTTTTCAGTAGGGGATGTCCCGTTTATAAGTCGGTTTTTGTTTCCATTGGATCATAATTTCTTCGAATATTATCGTTTTCTAAGTATTCACATCGGGATCTCGTGACTAAGTGACTTCCGAAGTTCCGAAGACATTACGATCTTAACTCAAACTTTATTACTCATCCCTCAAGTGCAGTGCACCCCTTTCAGTGCCCCTCGTTAATTAAGTGTCGTCGCCAGGAAATGAATTTTAGCAACCAAATGCGATAAGTCACATGTTTGTTAGCCGGGAATTTTGTTTTTTGTTTGGTTTTTTTTGTATTTGTTATTATGGCTTTGCACTGGCATTAAGTTAATTGTTTTATGATTTTTTTACGATTCGCACACACAAACTAAAGGATTTAACTGGGATCC